CGCTCGCTAAGTGAGCTCAGATAGCCACTGACGAGTCAATCGTGCCATCCTCGCCCACGCACCACATTCTATTTACACCAGGATCATTATAATACTAAATGTACACTAATTAATACACAATTTATTTTACTAAGATAGCGAAGAATTTATCGATTATATTAATTAACTTATTATATAAAATATTTATTTATAAATCGATAATTGATAAACCAGATCTATGGGTATAAGAATAGGTGATCTTAATTTTTCTATTTATGACATTTGTTTAGTAATGAGCAATAAAATACATTCTAATTTAGGGTATATTTACAATGATTGCGAAGGGACTTTCTTGGCGCAAGTGCTTACAATATTTTATCGACCAACGTGATTTACTGCTGACTATCTTTAAATGGTAGTTCATTATGCCTGCTTAGGTATCCGTAAGGTGTTCTGTATAGTGTTAAGATAACAGTGAATAAATGCCAAGAGCGTTTAGGCTAGGTCAAGCCAGGCTAGATTGTGCGCCTCGGGTCTTAAATACGGATGTACGAATATTAAATAGTCAAAAAATATATATGTATCACCAAAGAACATATCATATACGACAAAATCGTTGCATATATAATTAACACTTATGCGAAAAGGTTCACGAAATAAATCGTTAATCTATAGATAGTAACTTTTATCTTTTATATAGAGATAAAGTTAAATAAAATAAAAATAAAAACAACAACAAAAAGATGAAGTACCCGTTGATAGATGGCTATCTAAAAATAAAAGTTAAAACAGTCTTATTTTTGTTTGCATAAAGTAGTCTTTTACTATGCGATCGTGATTACAGGCTAAATACTTTTAAGGTAAAGGCAAAGACGCCGCTCTTATGGAGCAGGAGCCCTAATGTAGTGCCTGTGTACCGGATAGCTGGCTATCGTCCGTCGCCCGCCATTTACACTATGAATAACAATAGATAATCCTAATTAATTAAAATCGTGTCTTAAGAATTATAATATGTAAAAATACTTTTATTATTTAGTTACATATATTACTCTTAACAATAAAGCATTTGATCTAAACATATATCTTTGTTCTATTTCGTTACAATAATGACGATGATATAATCCAAAGTAATTGCACATATTATATTGCAGTGCAAATTAATATATTAAAAAGTTTGACAGTTTGAACATAATACAATGAAGGTTTTTTTTTATATATATTACACAATCAGCCTGTACGAAGGTATTGTGCTAGCTTCATACTCATTCGTTAATTGAAAAGCTACGGTAATGCGTGTAGCAATAGCACCCAGCAAGGCACAATTATCCCGTCAGAGTGTTGAGATCAATAAAACCGTATCAAGTAATGTGGGTCATTAATTACTGTAAACAGTAATTATTTTAATTATTCTTGACAGTCTTTGTGTGAAGTCGTGAAGTTATGGCACGTTGCCGAATGTTAGTCTTCATTATTATAGCAATCTCAATGATGAACCTCTATGTAGAAATTAATGCTATTTGTTTATAGCTGTTACAACGCTTTGTGTTGACGCTTTATGACGTTTTAGTTTATCAAAACGTTTATATTTGTTCACTCTTTTTGTGTTGTATATTATAAAATAATGAATACTATTTGTGTTGAACAAATAAGGGAATGAGACAGTATTGGAACAGGTCTCCACGTTTGAGTCGGCGGCTTCGTCGTGTTTCATCGCTAGCTGTCAAAGGCACCCCGTCAGGTGATCTTTGGGCCCGTGGTCCGTGACTCAACAGTTTAAACTAACGAACCGGTGCTGCGCGGCGCGTGCTTCATTGTGTTGTATTATCTATCAATATCTCGCTAGCCTAGATACAGACGTATTCTATAACGCATGGGGCAATACCGATCTTAAAACAATCAACTTTAATAAAGCGACTGCTTACCGCAATCCAATTGATCGGTAACGCATTGAGTAACTTCAGTGGCTTTCATACAGGTCGTGTAGATTCAAATCTTAGATTTTTTTTGTCAGCGTTTGACCTCATACCCTTCACCTTACAAAATACAATTAAATTAAAAATTTTAATTGGACACGATTGTAGACAATGCATATTCAGAAGTTACAAATAGATTCATGTTGTGTAAACGTACTTAACATTTCTATGGGTATTATTATTTCAAAAACGAATATAATGGCTTACTAATTAATAAATAAAATGGTAAATACGCAATATGTGCATGTAGGTACGAACTATACAGACGAGAGAATGTAATATCTCATACGATGGATATTAATTTTCATATTATGATTAATACGATTTAGTCGTTAGGATCCTTATCATGGCTATTATATTTCATTAGCCTCGTAAACTATTTGAACCGTCAAAACGATCCATCAAGGTGTTAAGTAGAATCATCATTTCTAACATAGTTCCAATGAGGTTTTATTTATCACACACCTGCCATCGATAAACGATATCCAATCATAACCTACGAGGTGTTTATGGTGCCTGTCTGCACATTGCATCAATCTATACTATAATTTCTATGGATAAAGCACCGGAATCCTGAGAAAGAATGAACACATTTAATTTCATAACCTTTAAGACAATCTGATCATTCCTAAGGATAACCGTGATATCAAATAATTTAACTTTTATTATATTCATAACAGAAAGTTAATTTATAAATGTAGGTATATGAATATATGAAGTAATTATGGAATAATTATTTAAATATTTTATAGCAACCAACAGCATAGAAGATGTCGTCGGAGGCTGTGAGCTTGCGAATCGCTTGTCGACCGTGCGACATTTGAAAGCATTACCACACGAATATTGATCCAGTATAAATCTGGACTTTCGACCTACTTTCGTGCAAGCGATGATCCGAAATCGTTTGTCACGATCGAGAGATTAATAATTTGTCTTTATTGGTCGTCTCTGTGATTATCGTATCGGAGTGGACGCCACGTTTTCACAATGTCCGATGTGTACCGCGACCGGTGTTAAGGAGGCTAAGTTTGGAATCACGACGTCGCTGCCCAACTTTCGACTGCAGCCGTCGATTAAGAATCGCTTGCGACAACATTGGATTGATCGATGTAGCCCTTGGCATTTGTGCGATATAACTGTAAACTATTGATGACACACATAGTTAGTGGCTCGTTGACTTGACACAATCATGATATGTATGTGTTTATATGATATACATATTACGGTCACCTAGTAACGTATTGTACCTATTGTTAATTAACTATATTATATTTAGATAAATCGTCAATCAATGTAATGAAAACAGGTGTGTTTACTTAAAAAGCGGTGTAGGAACTGGTTGATGTGATATAAAGTTCATTCGTTGGACGCCGTCGGTCGCGGCACGTCAAAGCAAACATTCGTTTAGATCAATTGTGCGTGCGCGCAACTACAACGTGTAATTATACGGTTATAGGAGGCCCGGAGCACCCCCCGAGCCTCCGCACCCCGCACTCAGCGCCCCGTCACGGACGAATGTTAAAAAATAACCATCTGTTGAACCTTAATCGGGATAACGCCCGCTGGGTCAGTAATTGACCGCTGATATACTTTTTCCTAAATTCAACTTCTTTTTTTTATGTCTATAATAGCTTCAATTACCAATTAATATATTTTTATTGTTTCATTAATAATAGTAGTATGTATTTCTATTTTTTATTTAATACTAATTTCCGTTTTATTATTTTTAAAATATATATATTTTTATGTATTACCAAATAAAAGATAAATATTAAGTAAATTCAACTGACATATATTATCTATGTTCACTTGTGTCGAGTGCAATCGAGTTGTTAGATAATCTTAAAATTTAAACACAAACACTTCAAAGCATTAGTTTCGAGTTGATAAATTTATGTAAATTAACTTATACGCTTCTATTGATTTAGATTATCATTTGAACTCTTAAATATATTTCGATAATTAAAGAATTCAACACGGGGGCGTATTTGTTCAAATCAAAAAAATCAATAACTGTATTCTTTTTTTTCCAAAAAAGAAGAGATATTAAAATTTCAACCTTTTTTGTGTTATTGTACCGGATCTGATATAATTCCATTATCCAAAACAGGAGTTTCAAACAAAAAAATGATGTGGCAGTGTTGTTATATTAAAATTATTAATAGGGCTATTTAAATCAATTTCCGTTACGCGAGTAAACCCCTTTAGTCAGGGCGTTATAAGCGTATTGTTGTATCTAAAATAGTGTGTAATCGTCTTGATGGATCTTTGATTACGAGGCATCAGCTGTGACTGTCCGTGAATTACTATTAAATTTCCTTTATCATATTTGTACACTTAGTATTACTACTATCTCACATTATCGATCTATAATAAGAGCAACGTTCTACAGGTTACGTATAATTGAATATTAAGCTTGAATGAATCACCTAGAAACTATTGGTGTTCAATTTGGCGATACAAAATCGTACTAAGCTTACTTTATAAGTAACACCTGTTTATCTTATTTATTCCTTTATTTAGTTATTATTAGAATAGAAGTATGGTTCTGTGTGAAGTTTTAGTTTGAATATATTTATCTGTTTCATACAATCGGCTCATAAAGTAATTTAAATCAGGTGTCTGTATAGTAATGTGGCAACTTGGTTAGCAACACGTGCTGTTCCGGCAATACTGTTACTAGCCTTCAGTCCATTGTTCCGGTTGGCAGTAAAACATTGACTCCAAACGCTGCTTCGCGTCTGCGGCGCAGGTGGTTCACAGATCCTTGTTGTTAAATGAAACTCAATTGTTTGTGCTTTACTACTGTTATTATGCAGGTTTCAACATATATTTTATAGCTTTTTGTTCGTGAGAAATATTCTAGTCTCGTTTATGTTTTAGTTAAATACACCTAAATTAGTGGTTACACCTTTTTACAATACAACCGATTTCGTTTGTTTTATTATTTAATAATGAACACTACTAACATATCTGAATGCCTCAATACGCTCTCAAATATAAATTAATAATTCCAATGATGGAGTAAGTGAGGCATTAGACAAATTAATGGATGAACGGTTCGATTCTTCGTCGGTGGGCGCCGGCGTGACTTTGGACGGATTATTCCGTGGAACTATTTATAATGTGGGGCTCAGAGACGCGAATCGCGGACGCTGGAATCTGCTCCTTTGTCATTGGAGCAACCTGTCCGCCGGGTTGGACTCAACTCGAGCACAATGTAAAATAACGGGCCACCTGATTAACCGGCATACTATCCAGCTATGCAGATATCTACCGCTCGCCCGTCGCACCGATCACTGAGCATATTAATTTCGAATGATAGATTGCTTTTATATTGTTAATGCCTTATTATGATACAGATAACGACATCAAGGTCACTGAACTTTCCATCGCATTAAGTGATAGAAGTCATAATAGTGTATGGATAATGTCGTGATCGATCAGTGTGGGAACGGGAAGCACTTAAAGCATTATACATATCTTCATTATTACAAGAGTGAAGCTATGATTTTAATTAAACAATAAACTGATATTATATCAGGAGCTTGTACAATAATTTCATAATTTAATGGTCGATATTGTATTGTTAATTTATTAGTTGCATCATGGTTTCATTGTTTGAACTGAACATACACATATATACGAGTATATATATAGCCTTTCCTACTTAAGTTACATAATGAATCAAATATTAAATTTTGTATTTGTGTTTGTGATAATTAAATAATATATTAAAAGGTCCCGGTTAGATGTTCCAGATACGATTCGTAACACGCAACTACATCGACATTTCTACGGAAATCTCAGTGAGTTTGAGTCACACTTGTTTTTTGGGACAGTAGCAGGTGAAGGGAATGCGTTCACACGGGTACTTAATGTTTTTATACAGCTTGTTATATTTATATTTGGTATAATGTTAATAATAAACATATTTATGGAATATATCAAGAATTCGATTTTATGATATGCTATATATTTTTTTACGTTTCATCTGAATAATAATTTACATATATTTATATATCAATAAATTTGATTCAGAGGTAAGTATTATTTCAAAAAGATTTTACCAAATTTTTGAATTAAAAAAAATATTTAATTTATATCTAGAACTTTCGGATCCATACAGTTTTTACTGCTGAATTTAAAAGATCAATATAATATACATCCTTTCCAATAAATACCTACGCCTTTCTCAATTGTTAATGTGTATTGAAAAGTTAGATACACGATCTCGTAGTCAACATGTTAACAAATTTACCATGTGAAGTTAATACAATTTAGTTTTTTTTTCTTTCGTGAACAGGAGACGGACTCACCCTTAAGTTCTACTTTCTTTTAACACAAATCTCTTCATGAAAAAACGGGACACCTTTTGCAACATCCGCTGACAATTCTCACGAGACAGGTACCAGCTTCCGTTCAGACTCTTTATTAGGCAATGGAATTGGAATAATTATTATAATATGTGCAGTGTATGTAGTCTTTAGGTCAGGTATGATTTCGTTTTAAAAAGAAGTTACACATATTTTAAACTTGTTAAAGTGACTGAATATAATTTCGGGAGCCATGAATATGCAATCAGCTTTACTTTGGAAGTATTAATGTTGATTTACATAATTTTTACGAAAAGTTGACGATGCAAGCAGAAATTATGCACACATCCATTCAAATAAAATGAATAGTCGAACAAAGAATATTCCTGCGCAAAAATTTGAATAATTAAACAAGGAAGTAATTCGACAGGTTACGTTTCGTGGAACTAGTTCACGCAACAAGTTATGTTAAAAGCGGGAACCGACCGACCCCTCGCTATACTCTCGATGTCTTGTACTGGCTCCTAAACATTATTTATTTTTCACATAACATGTGTCGTATTCTTTTAGGAATATTTGACAATTTAAAAAAATAATTCCAAATTTAATGACGTCTATGTATTTAGAGTTTTTGGGTAAAAATATAATTTGTTTATTCCTTAATTGAAATAAATAGTGATAATTTGTCATTTGTTGTACAATTATTTGAGTATATATAATATACATAGTCTTTCTATATGATTGTTTAAATTTTCATTCAAGTGACCAATTGTTGCCATGTGAACTATATGGAGAAGAATATTGGTTGCAATCGTACCACAGCGGTGCGGCGACGTACTTTCAACCCTCCATCCGCGTTCGGTGATCTATTGTTTGCTGAGAGAAATGAAATGAGAAAAAATCTCGTTCCCAAACGTATCGTGAGAAATAATGAAACATGCCCCGCATTCATTAAGTGACGCTCCGTCAGAAATCAATAAATATCATATTACGCTCTGCTAGCCATGAATGTACACTACTGGTTTAAGACTCGATTACTTAAAAAGTTTTGTAAATGTACTTAATATAACATCGCGAATACATATACATTAAATTTATCTTTTTTATTATTCTGTTTAATTTTAAAAGTATTAATATTTAATATTAACCATATATATATTTATGGATACGAATTGCTTCGAATAATTCCTCGAAATGAACTACATCGCACTTTATAGCCTTTCGAAATTTGCGAGTATAAAATACATTCAAGCTGTAATTATTTTTACTGTGTGTAATCAAATTTGAACAATGTGGGTGTAAGCGGTTAACAAATTACAATATATATTCAAGCCACGCTAGCTTGAGGTCCGGCGAAGGATACTGACATCTGACTATAATAATGGTGTTAAATAATGCACCTTTCTCTATTTTGCTGCAACAATAGGCAGTCATGCAACTGAAGTGGTATGATTGATCGGGCAGTGTCGGCGTCGGGCTGAGGTGGCGACTGATTGTTGCGCCATGAACTCAGCCGGCGCCCGCGTCACAAGCGCTCAACACAACACTGACTCATTCTCATGGATTCCTGTTTACTACCTCCTACTACTATAGTATTTCTGAACATTATGCCCAAATGATCTGCCAACGCATTGTCTTTGAACTTACTGTTCGACGATTAACGTCAACGCTGATTTAGAGACGTTAATATTTGTTGGAACTAACAGCATTGTTGCGGCACTGATTGTACTGGACATTGTTAATATTAAAGACTTACTAATACATCACTATCTGAATTTACATGTCGGGTATTACTTAGAGATGTTTTTAATCGTAATTATTTTGAATTATATAAAAATAGTGACTTACTTGCCTTTAATCACTAGGCCCTGTATAACAAACGTTACTTGGAACTAACGCAAGTGGTACAAGTGTAACGAAGCGGTAACGCACATTTGATCTAGATAAGCTATGGAGTTCTATTTAGTCAAACCAACGTACAAAAACATGTTTCAATTTACTGCAAATTGTACACATTGTTAGAGGACTGATTGCAAATATTCTGATCAGATTTAAATTGATTCAATTATATCGCGAAACTATTTCTTGAAACATAATAATTCAAAAAGAAAGTAGCTTATTATTTCATAATCTTTTAAATAAAATTTCTTTTAACTTTTTCGACATAAAGTTATATACATATATTATGTGAGTGAAGATTCTTTAACAAATTATTCAAAAAATTGTTGTGATAATCTCAAACAATCAGACAAACTTTGAAGAGTTATAATTTGGTTATTTTATGAACGTCACCTGTTATTTTGACATTACGTTTGTTATAGTTATCTAATCTGTGATTTGTATAATCTGTGTGTACAGTTAAATATTATTTGTATGTATAGATTACATCAGATTCCATTTATTTGTAATTAAAACGAATTGCACTAAAAATAAACGAGAGAAAACTTTATTCATCGAACATTTCCTATCTCTTATTTTATTTATGTATTACGATTTAAACGTGTTCGATTGTAAAGATAACCGTTAATTATTGTTATAATGATATTAAATTATATTGTTATAATAACGTTCACCAATTCTAAATCTTTTAATTTATTCACGGATTGCTTCTATGAATAGCGAAAGCGGAGCAATTCGTGATCTTTGGTCGGTACAAAGACCAAAGTCAATGGTACACACGTTCAATGTGGGTTAGGTTTCAAATTGTATATCATATCCTCTGAAATATTACCTTATTTGTATAAATACTGATCTTATATAAAGAATTAAAAAGGACACTATGGAATCATAAAATATAATAATATTTATGCTGTATAAAATTAAATTAAATTCAACGATTATAAACCTAGCAGAATGTGCGTATTATATGATTCTAAAACATCGTTCGTTTTTATAACAACGATAAAGAAAATTATTCGCTGTAAATAATATAACATAAATATATGTATAAATATGTGCAGTAACCTAAGTATTGCTGAGTTTTGCACATTAATAACCGACTTTATAAAAGTTGTGACTTACAAATGACGTCTTTAACGGTTTGAGAGTTATAAATTATTTATTTACGACTCATTATGCATTTATTTAATACTAGGCTTTTATCGCGGCTCTACTTCGAGTGTTATTTGTGAATAAAAATTAAAAATATTTGGACGACATATCTCTCGGGAGTTTTTTAATAAATTCTTAGTATATCTCATTTAAGTATTATAGAGAAATTAAGTGTTAAAAATATATAATGGTCTGCTTAGTTCACTTAGGTTAAGAGAAAACTGCATTTTTGATATTGTTAACAATATTTTGACCAAGTATATTCTGGCGCTAACATTGTTTTCTTCATAGATATTTACCTTCCAAACATAATTTAACTGAATGTACTAATGATCTACAATATTAAATATGACTACAATATGTTATTGTCAAAGTATTTCTCCGCTTTGTGGTCTACATTATTGCTGATCATGTGATATCTCCGCAACTCTTTATCTTTATTGCTTTTCAGCTTTGTTCTGTTTGCTTTCTACACTATATCAATATGAAATCTAATATTTATATCATTGTGGTCATATTACTTTGGTTATAGTAATTTATGTTTATTTGAATGAATATATATTTAGTTTTTTTCTCCTACTTCCAATGTATGAGTTGGCATAAGCCTATATTATTAAGTCCGTTCGTGCACGTATTTCTATCGTTTCAAAAATCACCCGTATATGGATGTGGTAAAAAATAAATAGTTATCAGGGGGGTTGTTCGCGCACGGTCAACGATTTACATTCCTCACGACTTTTGAGGGACGAATTCTTGTTCAATATGAGACATGTGAGTAAAAAACGGGGAATTCGTGAAATAAGGCGAGAGTTAATCGAAGATTGTTCGGAAAGGTGAGTTTCTGTGTCATAGAGGACCGTTGTATTGTAATCAGATGAGGGCAGGTAAACAAATGGTCGGTGGTGTAGCTGGTCGGGTGGTGCGATGTACGGGAGCGGGATCACCAGCGGCCGGGTCAGCGGGGTCAGGATCATGAGGTCGCTCGCCGTGCAGCGAGGAGATTAGTTACTAATGTCGTGCTCGGAGCACCCTCCGACTTCCGAATGAAACTATATTATAACGACCGCGGACACGGTTATCTTTAATTAAGGCATTGTTCTGCGGACCTCTCTAACATCCATCAGTTATATAATCGTGGCTCACTATATTTTTGTTTTAGAAAATTGTATTTATCAGGTTGGAATATCTATTGTTTTTTTTTTAAGGTTGATTTAAAAATATAATGTTAAATATAGAATTTATAAATCAATTATTAAAAATTCTTCCACATTCATTATAAATATCTATTTTTACTTCAATACTGTTGATATAAAAAATATGCTCCAGGTGAGGCTCGAACTCACAACCCCGGCATTGCTCACGAACACTGTCTTATAAGTACCGTGCGCTAACCAATTGCGCCACTGGAGCGATGAGCGGACGAGCGAAATTATGTAACATGTGATAAGCGTCCGGTGTCGTCCTCCGCGCGCCGCTCCCCCCCGTGCCCTTCCGTCTATCGGTCATATATTACGTCATACATTTTAAACAAATTATTAAATTGTTTTGTGGCGGAAGCGTTTACTAGTTATCTAATGTTTAGAGTTACTTTTAATAGCTTATAATAAATTAATTACGATTATTTTTTAAATATAATTTAGAGTCGAAATAAACATTTGTGTTACTTACATATACATAATTAATTAGTAGATATTAGACAATAAGTAAAGTCAGTACATAAAGCTGTGATTTTCTTACTGCTTACTTACGAAGTCAGCAAAAAAATATTATGAAGTACAGTAGGACCTCGATTATCCGGACTAATTGTTGTCGGTAGGCATCCGGATAAGTGAAAGTCCGGATAATCCAATATATGAAGAAAAACGGACTTTTTGCATATGTACATATGTAGTCTGTACCATACATATGTAATGTTAGGTGTTTATTTAAAACAACAAATACATATGAGCGAAAATCAACGTTTATTAAGAAATTGTACATAATGTACGTATAAGTGTGATAAGTGGCGTGGCGTTGTGCAAGTTCTGACATGTTAATCTATAGGTACATACATTAATAAAATTGTAGAAAAGTGCTGTCTGTACATTGAAAATAAAAATAAAAAAAATAACAGGGATTATTGTTATTTCGATGTCGAACCCAAAAATGTAATTAATTTTTTTTTTGTCTGTTCACGCTAATCTAAGAAACGGCTGATCCGAGTTGGATTCGGTTTTCACGAATATATTGTGGTATGCTTCAGTTATGCTTTAGTGTTTGTTTCATGTCAATCGGTTCATAAATAAAAAAGTTATGTCAAATTAAAGAACTGAAGAACTGCTTTCAATATTCGACCGGGTGTGTCAATTGTACGAGTATGTGGCTCTGTCCCATGTTAGCAATCCCAGCAGCCTGTATGCTTTCACCCCCGATGGCCATACGTCTAATATTGTATATAGAGAAGCATTACAGTAAAGTAGGTTTTTTTAGCTACCCAAAATGACTGTGATTATGATCCAAAATAAAAATAAGTATATATTTAAAAAAAAATGCTGCTCATAGTCACTATTCCACGCGAACGAAGTCGCGGGCACAGCTAGTGTTAGAATAAACTCGTCGCGATTGGCAGTCCGGATAATCGCGAATTCGGATAACCGAGGTCCGGATAATACTGTAGTTTATAAAAAAAATAACAAAAGGAATAAATAGTAAGCTAAGAGCACTTAACAAAATAAAATATTTTTAACTGTTGTTGATAATTTTTTTAAGGTAAACATTTTGTTTAACCCCTAATACAAAACAGGGGTGTTTAAGTGTGACGTGGATGTCTGTTTGTGTGTGTATTCGTGTCATCATAGCTCTTAACTGATCGACCGTTTTCGATGCGGTTTTGTTCATTTGGAAGCCGGTTTTCTTGCGGTGGTTCTTAGTTATGTTTGGTTTATAGCGGACCACTAGTGTGAGAATCTTAGCTCTTTTTCAAAAGGTTAAAATATGGTAGTTTAATTTTGACCTAGGATTAATCATTTAAAAGACTCACGAGTGCCAGTTTAATAGTTATGGGAAAAAAAGGTTGGCGTTTTTTTTGGAGTTTAATAAAAAATTTTTTTAAAGTTTCATTTAAGTTATAATAGCCAACATAAACACACTATATTTAAATCAATTAAATCGTGTTTGAATAATAATAAGTAATTTCTATGCTAAATATACTAATTTCAAATACAATTTTCCTACTTTGTAAACATTATGCACCAAAGTGTGTCTTTAAAAAAAACAAACATTTCAGTCTAAACTATAAAAATAGGTTTATTTAGACTCTAAATAAGGAAAATTTTGCAACTCAAACTTATATATAATAAGTACATGAGTATAACATGATTTTTGATGAAGTATTAATAATGTAGAAAGGTTATTTTATATGAAAGGTTTGTTATATTAAAAAAATTAAGTCAATACAGTATGTAATAGCAATAGACAATTTTTTTTTTTAATTGTCTGTGGCACGAATTATTGAGCACTATTACATATACATATGTATAATACAGGCTCCGGTTTATTTTTTTTTGTATTAAACCTTTTTAGATTTAATTCTTAGTTACTTTCATGTGTTTCATCCGATATGCAATTTAAAAAGGGTTTGTAATAAATCAATAAAAGAATAAGGTAGTTGTCTGTTGATTAAATTATAATATATTGATTCACTAACACACAATTAAAAACATAACAGTAATTAATAAACAATGAAACAAAGGAAGGGATTCACGTTTTATTGATTCTTTGGAATCAAATGTAGGGTGATCATTATTCATATTTATTTAGGACAACAATTTTCACAAAACATAAACAAATATATCACAAGAATTTAAATGAAACCTAGTTGAATGAAAGAGATCCGTACGAAAGATACCATAGAATGGGAACATAACAAAGCTAGCATAACAATAAGGTAAGTAATAGTTGAGGTGCACTGTAATAATATAATATAATATATTCGACACGGATGATATATAAGGTTAAAATGTGTAATAAATGTGTAATATCATGATATGGTTACCCTACGCTCGAGGGTATTCGATTAGCGTAGAGCAAAATTATATGTTAATGACCGATCTGAGGCTTAGTTACACGCTGCTTCTCACTAGTAGCGCCACCGGCACTGAAATACGACTACACCTATCATAATTAATAAAACAAATACAACTGTAGAATTAATACATATAAATTTAACAGCCTCCTAATATTAATACGTTTGTGTGAGGATAGATGAAGGTTTTTAACTGGGTTCGATTGTTTTGAACTCTAGCGGAATACGATAAAACAAGTTCTTTTAAAACTTTTCAGTAATGTTTCCTTATAAATTTTTCTCGTTTTTTTTTCGTAATATATTTATTAAAGACGATATGAAATTGTAAAGTCAAAATTAAAACAAAATGACAGAAGCTTTGTTTTGTTTGTATTAGGCGTCAAGTTAAGTCACAGTAATATGTTTCTGATAGTTTGTACATGGAAGAAATTTGTTTTTTTTTTTATTGAAAGAAAAGATAATTGTTTCAATTTTATCACTGTAGAATTTAGTATAATCAGAAAAGTAGATAAAAACATTTAAATATCTATATTTATATTCATAAATAATTTAATAAAAAACGACTTATATTCGGCTAGCGATGTGTAAACGTTAATTAAATTTGATACAAACTTATTACAATAAATATAAATATGTACTTATAGTATAAAACTGATGTATTGGAAGGTGCTGCCGTTAATTCTTTTACGATCTAATAACTATCAATAGTTAATATCGGCGGCAAACTGGCTGACTGATTGAACAGGACAATTGCCTTTAATGAAAGTAATTAACGCGAAGCGATCGCTGCCGATAGCTAGTCGGTCGAGCGGCGGTGGTGCCGAGACCACAATGTAAACCTAAATCAACCTACACTCTATCCTTAATTACAATACAAACCTGTTCATTATTATGTATAACAACAACTAGGTAACTTATATTAACAATACTATTACACATGTAAGATGAAAGTATTCGTTTCGCGTTTAGTTTTTGCTTACTTAAAACATTTCACATCGATGTTCCCACACTAGATTCGATATTGAATTTCAATGACGTTAAGTTGGTCTTATAATTTTCTCTTTATTATAATTTCATACAATTGACCGATCGAGACCGACTCCGAGTTGCAGGTAGAGAAATTGTTCAATACTAAGACGAAGTACATCTGGGTATATCAAATAGATCAGTGTGGGAAAATTTAAACTCTTTACAAAACTTATTATATAATGGCTATTGGTTACACAGAAATATTCATCCAAATGCACCTTAACTTTTGTATATCTAGTTCAAGTATAGATCAAGGTTACTGTAACACGGCTATCTTTATGGGTAGAGTAAATCAAGAACGAATTTATCGATAAAATGGTATAAAACTAATAGTGTGACTTGTTGGCTTATTTGTTCAAGATATTCCACAGATCCTTGTGTAAATGTAAATACATGAAATAAATATCACCTTGTTATCTCATCCAAATTGTTGAAGGCCGTCGCTATCACTGGCTATTTCATGATAATTGTTGCATTTGTACCTGCTTAGTGAAATTCATTGACCGCCAAAATTGCAAACATCGTAACAAGTTATAAATAATTTGTTGCTATTATTAGTATTCAATACATTGTTATACAGTGCATAAGAAATATTTTTATTCCACCGACTACCGAGTCAAGCAACTCCGACACGTGACCTGTAAATGCTTCGTTTTCACATAAAAGTCACGTGTGCTGATTATGGACATTTCGGTCAAAACATGATATAATAATGTTGAAATCAAAATAAACCTGTCATGTCATGCCATAATTACATTTGTCTCGAATTACGTTTGATATATTATCTAGGAGCGTATTGTGTAACATAAATGTATGGACAAATTAATTACACGATTGAGCTTATAGTAATTATTTTACTACGTTTTGTACATATCGGAACAATCAGAGAGTATTAGTTAAGAAAATTCAATATAATTATTACTTATGCTATAATTGATTCAATATAAACATTTTAAATTATATATATCTGTACGTACATAATTTCGATCAATTGAACGAGTTAATATGTTGTTTAAAATGTTAATAATATGTTCATCAAACCAAAAATCACGATATATAAGACAATTATTAATTATGTAAACAGCAAAAATGTGCTTAAGTATGTATTCGTGCGGATATCGTTAATGTCGTAATGAAGACAAAAAAACCATCGCCAAGCACGATCAATGCGCATAAAGGAATTCCAAGAGTTATGAATGGTCCGGGCATCATTCTTATACGACGTCGTTTTGTTTGATTGTGTATGTAGTTAATGAAAAAGAACGCTTGCTCTCAGGTGCACACCTGTTAAGGCGCCGAGGCCGTGGGATTACAGAAGCAGGTAGAAAATTAAGCAAAGATCCGCGAAATATACGGCATTCCTTGCTTTATTATAAGCGCACTGATTTGTAAAGAGATTTTTATATTAGTTCATATGATATAGAGAAATTAAATTAAATTATGATAATTCATGTTATATTAAAATTCCTGTTTACTTAAAAGCAGTCAAGTTTAAAAGGTGTTTATTTTAAATATATACATATATGTGTGAGCGTAATAAAATGTTCGTAGCTGTCTGGTAAACTCGATACACAATTAAGATTTGTTTTTTGATGAAAAAATATTTTTTAGTATTGAAATATAAGTTTACATTACTATACTGTCTTCTTATAGTGGACTCGGTGGAAATCAAAATGTACCTAGGCTTTTAAAAATCTGCGACATAAATATTTGTATATATTAAACTCAATAATACGTTTGGTTGTAAAATGGTTACAAAATTTCAACTAAAAAATATTAACAATAACGTCAAAGTTAGCAATCAACATTATGACACCGATAAAGTACCTATAACATGTATGCATTCGGCAAATAATCTTGTTCAACCTTGTCTTTGTTGAAATTTTTGCTCTTATAGAATCGAAGATATTTTGTATATTTCCTTATTATATTTTCAAAACAATACAAAGAATTGAATGTATATCGATAAATTTTACAAATTAACACAGCCTATAAAGACGAATAATAATAAATTTCTAAAAAAAAAACCACTGGTGTCTTATTAACAATTTCTCTAGCGTCTACGTATGAACTGTTAAGAATAAAGAAATGTTCAAATATCTAACGTGTAGGTAGAGGCCTACTGAGTTATTTATATTTCGTGTTTCAATTTTTATCCATATCTGGTAGTGAAGCCGCCTCGTGTACTGTGTACTGATTCAGATATGCTGAGAACGTGCTGGACGAAGCGGTGAATGCGAGTTGCGGATACAACAAGCTCAAACCATGGTGTCGTAGGCGTGAACAACGTTCTGCCTTCCACTACCACACCTATCGTCTAGTTGTTGATGTAGCAGATTTACAACTATCAGACCATATAGTCTCAAAGCTACGAAATATATGTACAATAAACAATACCTCATTATAACGTCTGCACGAATTAGACAGTGAAAGTGCTTAGATCAAGCATTGAAAGTACTCGTTATGATCGCTATAGTCCTTTGTGCATTTTTTTTTTATAATACACAAATAAAATATTTCTTTTATGCTACTCTCAACAATCGGGCATGCGAGATTTAGTGCGTTGTTGATTTTATCCACATTCCTCGCCGTTGTACAATACATCGAATGGTGCAATGCAAAATTCCATTAAACTTTTTGAATGCGAACGAAACAACATTTTGGTAAAAATCCGTCACCGCTCTCGAACAGGTTATTGTTCAAGCCTTAAGGAGGAACAATCGTACTGTTGTGTTTCCAGTTAACCGTGACAAACAACACTGAATATGTACCTGCACATATTTTTTACCGTACACTTTAAAAAAAGTTATGATTAAATTGATTCGGGAGAAATCAATTAAATGTAACCTTTTTTATATAATCGTTCTTTGAATTAATTTTGTTAATAAACATAATTGTCCTTATAGCTTACTTTTAAAGTCATCCTTTGTTAGTAATAAACAAAAAAAAACTTTAAATAGTTACCAAATACACATTATTTTATTATAAAACATGATAATATTCTTAATTCTGTCGACAGCCAGTCTAACAAAGTATTATTTTTTAATTTTTCCATTCTAATTTAGTAAATAATTTAGAGGATTTTTAAAGACTAGAAATAAAATAATAGTAGGGAGTCCAAATGAATAACTCCTATTTGCGGTAGTTTCAGTAACTGATTTTATAATAACTAGATTTAATTAATCTTATATTAATTTAAATGTTTTAGAAATAAGTGTTACGAAATCACAAAGATAAAAGGATTGCATACTCATGCAATCCTTTTTAACTTTGCCTATTTTCCTGTTGTCGTAACAAACATACCTTTTGTGTAAAAATGGTACAAGGTAAATTGCGACATATCAAAAGAGATCAAATCATGGTGTTACACGTTTCTTTGCTGAAAATATACCAAGAGAAAGATAAGTGGTGCTTGCTATGTGACTCGTGGAAGGAATAGCTATCTGTCATCACAGCCGTATGCTTGGTATGGTATGTATGATAGTTTCAAAGAATTTATCTGCCAATAGATGGTCGAGGTGGGACACGATCGGTGATCTCCGATGTGATATTCTGATGTGTGTTAGCTTGATAACGCACGTCCGGAGTGCGAGTGACGCGCTGCTGTCCTCGCCGGAGATAAGCCTCAACCTGTCTTTCCTTATCTGCATAAGTTTTGTCAACAGTTCCTATGCAAATACGATGATAGCCATCGCTCTAAAAACCCGTGAGGACCATTGCCATACATATTTAATATATTCTATATCATCGGATAATCTAGTTCATATCAAATTCAAATAGCCGGTGTGTCTTTGACATATAAAATTTATTTTACAATGAAAATCATGAGAGATTACTGGAAGTTAAGCGTTTAATCTAAGTTGAGTGTAACAGAAACTGTATATAAAAAACTTCCTAGATAAGATGGATGGGTATATAGACAAATATCCGCGAAGGTCGTGATAGCGTAAGTGTGCCGATGGTGCGGCACTTCCGGCCGCGTGGTCGGCACGTGCGGGGGCGCAGGATGCACACGCACATGGGACCTCGCCACCCTACTATATCACACAATTATGATAAAAGGGTACTCTTTATAAATAATATTTATATGAATAGAGAACATTTGTAACTAGCGTTTACATTTAATGTTTTATTCATTTTTCATTGTTAAACAGAAAAATTATTATTCCACAAATTTCTATTTAAATACTCAAAGAATTCATGTAAGTAGAAATTTACAATTGAAAAGTGGTTGCGAAGCTGCAACTTAAGATCACATAATTCTTACGAGATGTGATAAACGGCGACATTCATGAAGGTGGAGAAAAAAATTAATTCGTGAATTCCTTAAGTTATTGGCACAAAAAAGGAAAATTTAAGACGTGCCAAGTCAGACAATGCGAAGTGGTGTTAATCTTGCCGCGATCAATAAACTCTCTGATTACACATTCATGTAATACCTCGTATCTCACTGTGTCCGAGCATCGTGCGGTTCACGGCAGCGGAGTATGAGCAGACCATATACACTACCTACTATTATTCCATAGCCATACTTGAGCATGAATTATTAAATTATATAAATATTCTAGATAAGAGGGTATTACGATTACTTCACAATGTCTAACAGTACATTATAATCTGATTAAATATAAATGTATTCATCAATACCGTAATAATTTAATTCGTCGTTCGTTAAATCGACGTCGGTAATAAACCGGCTTGACAATTATATCCTTCTCGGTATAGAGCATAGACCTGCGATATTATAACGACCGAGACATATGGGTCAGCAGACGAATAAAAGGCGGAGACTGCGTTCACCTAAAAAAAATATGCCAGCTGACCGTTCGCCATACATTGGCGTTATTAATTGTTAACGGGAAGACCAAACTAGGTGACACGAATTAAATTGGTACATCTGTTAGGATTGGCCCTTCTAAATGATAGCCACGAGCGTCATCTGCGATACCTGAGCTCTTGTTCTAAACGTGATCATTATGAAGATGTAATTAAGACTCCGCTTTTTATATGAAGTTACAATCACAGGTTGTTAATTATATTCAATTAATTTTCATTAATAATTCTTTTTCCATAACAGCCTGTTTCAGAATGTTGTATGATATTTATTCATTACCAATTCATAGAATCGTGAAGTGAAAGCTAGATATTATTTAGTGACTTTTATTTTTTTGTTGTCTATCTGTGTCGAATTATTAAAGAAACATAAAAAAAATCAAAGTAGTGGATCAAAAATAAAATATAAATAAAAAAAGGTAGTAGCTCATATTTCTATAGAATTAAAGCCTCGGAGTATATGCATGTGAATGAAGTTAATAAGCCTTTATTTGGATGCGCGTCCACGAATCACGGCGACGATCTCACGGCCTGACAAAGTGTCTACATTTGACAAACATGTCGCCTATACTGATTCCTGATGACACATCCAGCCTTTTCATCGCTCATTTGAAACGGGTGACCATATAAATTATAATCTCACGTGGAATGCTATCGTTTTATTATTCACAATAGCTCACTAACTTCCTCTAACTGCAGTCACTGAAACGCTTTCTATCTGATTGAAGTGATAATAGCATATAACCTTGATTCACAACTCGGCTACACAGATAAGATTTATTGAAATGTAATTCTAAACTTATACAAGTTACGCAAGCGTTCATTTTTTTTGGAATCGCGGTTTTTAAAGCTAGAACACAACCAAAGGGTATAATAATTTCTTGATATTAAAATTACTTGAAGATTAAACAATAGCTGTTTTTATGTTAACGTAAAATAAAATCGATGCACACCTGCTCGTCAGTCTCAATACAATACAGTCTATTCAAATGCTAAATAAAAAGTAATGTTCGATAGACAGCAGCATATTGAATTAACTCGGAGAAGGAACAATGACTTGGTCGATACCTCTGAGCACTTTCTATTAGAAGACAACACGGCTCCTCCTTAAGGATGCTGACAGGTAGGATGAAGACAAAGAAGATCACAGTACTAATATTACCAATAGAGTACAAAGGTCAGTTCTATTCGATATCAATTTACCCGGCCGCAGCTATTAACCATCGCGTCGCGCCGTACCGTCAGCGCGCCCTACACTTTTGTGTGAGTAGACGACGAACATTATCGTGCGATCTAGGAGCGGAGATGCTCCTCATAATGCGTCCAGATAAACCGGCATTGTGTCGTGTGTTCTATAATAAGAAGAATATTCCATGAAAGGAGCGCGCAACGCAACAGGTACATGCCCCCGTGATTATCTAGTATTTTAGGTGACGTGTGGTCGCATCTTTTGAATACGTCGGTTTATGATTGTACTGCCTCTTTATTTGGATGTTAAAATTTTCTCTTGTTATCGTCACAATCTTGAATATTCTATCTACATGATCTTTATAACATATGTATATGAACAGCACGTAGTAATATGTAGCGACTATGGTATTTCCTGAATAAATCATTCTTTAAAATATGTTATATATTATTACATAAAATGTTTAGGAAGAAAGTAAAATAATATTTAAATATTATATAAGATCTGGTTCTAATTAATGTTATTTGTATTATTTATGATATCACATCAACACTCACGGTCTATGCGTACTCTATGTGTACTTAAAAACGTTGCAAGCATTGATCCAATCTTCAATCATCAATCAGCTGCAGTAAGATCACCGATAAATTAATTTGGTTGAATTGTCGAACAGCTAGACGTTGGAGCAAATACTTCAAAGTGCTATAAATATAAACTATACTCACTGATAGCTAGTTTGATATATTATGTTTTGACATTCAGTTTTCCTCAATTTCAATCGATCATATATCAACAGGTGATGAAACTGTTTAATGTGAAATTTTTCGTAAATATATGTACTATATTAATTAATAAAAACGCAACTAGTTAAGGAATTCATCAAAATTTTTTGGTTACAGTTTCATTGTTTGTGTTCTATCTATATTCTTAGACAGCATTTCAAAGTTTATGCTTTTGTATATGTAGATAAAAGTATTTAAAATGAATAATTCAAATGCAAATCATAAGTACCGATAGTATGTTTTCTGTATCCTTACAACAAATTATTAATTATGTTTATCCGTTAAATTATTGGTCGGTACACAATTAGGCTGATGAAAATATGGCTTGTTGTGATTGTGCCCATGCGCAGCAACACGTTTAGTAGCTTGAATTAAACAATCATAGTGACTCATAAGACCGGTTGGCCCTAAAGACAACTGAAATTATCTTTGTCTAGTTTATTTCACAGACAAAGCGCCATGTCGCTAAGATAAAACAATTCCAAATTGTTTCACTTTATTGTTCAGATATATAGTATTGTTGATTCACAGCCTTATCGCGGACTTATCGGGACAACTATCGGAGGTCAAACAACCAATGCCTTTGACTCTTAGGGAGTGATCAAATGAACTTAGACATCATTATTATTTGTTTTTGCAAATCATCATCTATATATCGTTTTGTGATCAAACGTTCCAAAAGAAAGTTCACAGTTCAATGTTGGAAAACAGAAAATATTGTTTACTTTCTTTTCTTTCGTAAATTGATTATTATGTATTAAATGTATGGAAGTTTTAAATTTTAATTCGTTATTAACTTTATAATATTGATTTTACAAAACGACGCTGGTCAAATAAAAATCCGATTAGTGTGTTATAAAAAAAGCAATTTATACTAAATTTCGAAAAACGACAAAAGTTTAATAATTATCTTAAATATTAAACACTCCTATGAAATGAGATTTATTTAAATTATGAACATTTCAAGCAAAAATAAATAGTAGTGGCGCTTTGCCATGATTGAGTATGACATGCAAATAATACAGATTTTATGTAGGTGTAGTAAAGGTGGCGAGAAATTATGAGGTGGTCAGAAATCTAGCGGCTGGCAGTACCCGGTGGAGAGCGAGACAGTTTTGGACACTGTTTGTATGATTCATAATTAGCTTCTATAGCCCCACAGCCTTTCATGAATCCAAGATTGATAGTTGTAAATAAAATATTACAAAACTAATAAGTGAGTTTCATTATCTAATAACAATAGTTTTAGTAACAATAATCAGTTACATACATCAAACAATCGTATTGAATCTTCTATATATATAAAAATGGATTGCTGTTCCTTAGTCTCGCTAAAACTCGAGAACAGCTGAACGGATTTATCTTATCTTAGTCTTGAAATATTCGTGGAGGTTCAGGGAAGGTATAAAAGGTGAGAAAAATTGGAATAATTGCGGGGAAAACCTAAAAACAGGCCTTTTCTATTTCCCATACAACCGATTTTTTTGACATTAGATTTGACAACTAACTAATATGTCAATCATTCTGTTTGATTGAAACAGGAAAAACCTGATTATTTATGGCCTCTGAGACGGAATAGAGTTCGCCTGGTCAGCTATACCTACATATATTACTCTTGACCAAACTAACGCGGACGAAGTCGCGGGCAAAAAACTAGTCAATGTATAAAAATTTGACACTAATTGATGCGGTGTGTTATGCCGTACTGTTAAATGAATACTTTATGTAACAACAAAAGTCCATTCATTAAAATTGGTTATTTTTCAATACTTTTCATTTTTGGCACAACATCAATCGTGCCATATCATTAATTACGGATATGTTACATTCGTTCCTTTATCTCTCGTTATTGATGAATGAGAATGCCTTAAGATAAGACATACCATTAAATATGGAACAAGTGATGCGGTAAGTTACGGCGGAACATCGATTTCACTGTTTCATCGTCAAACCATCGAAGATTGTTAGTTTTGCGCAACAACTCACTCTGACTAGATGCCCAATGCGGCCACTCTGTGCAAATCGCTTCAATTATGCAAGTGTCTCGGATAGAAAATGAGATGGCCCGAGCGATATTTGAACTCGATTGATTTATTTACGTAATCGATGCCGGAAACAATGACTGAATCCAATGCATTTTGAGATCTTTACAAATATTTAAGATGCTCGTTAAGAAATTATGATAATGATTATGCTGATATTTATTTTTTTCATAGTCTATTAGAAGGAAGATTACGAAAATAAACAACATAAAATAAGTCTGAGTTAAAGGTGTTAAAATCGATGTGTTCTTGGGTTCCGTATCGGAAGAAAGCATCACTCAGTGTATTTTGAAAATAATGGGGTAGGTCAGGAACATGTGGTTTAGATAGTTTTGAAATTGAGAGGGGAACAGACAGTGTCGGGGTCATTGCTCCGACTAAAGAAAAGGAGGGTTGTCGTCGTTACTTCAAATGGTTCCACATATGACATTTTTAGTCATAGAGGTACCAGCCCTACTATCGATATAAGATCGTCACATCTTGAAATACTTTCCAAAAGTCTAAGGTCTGCTCAGGTGATATATTAGTATATAATATGTTTAGGAAGTTTTATTTCCTACTATATAATTATGTTTAGTTTTTTATATTTTTTTATAAACTGAGGGACATATTTGAGGAATCACTTACAGCTTGCACTTTCAGTTTGCATAGATAAAATAATAAATCTTAATTTGTCATCCCGTTTATTACTCCAGTCTTGTGGTATCGGAAAATCTGAGCAGATTTTATCTTATATTATGACTTACTTTGAGCTGGTACAATGGAATAGTTAGAACAGATTTGAAGAGATTGAATAAAAATACATATTTTTATTTTTAGTTTGTATTTAAAAATTTTCTTATTAATTTTCCTTTCCACAATTCACACATAATTTCATTGTTTTTATATATAGTTTTTAATTCATTTGTGAAAAATTAGTATAGTTACTTAAAGAAAAAACAATAGTAATTGTTATAATAATCATGAATAATAAACATTAGTTAGAAATGCAATAGGTACAGGCTACCGAATCACTGCTTTCCTCGCTTGGGAGCAGCCGTGCCCACGTCTCAAGAAGCCTCCATAATCTTCGCTCCACTAACTATTCTTTATAATCGATAGCCATTGTTTTCGCCTGTGTGATATCGTTTGTGTCCATCAGATAAATGTATATGAGTTATTCAAGTAGAACAAAATACTTGCTTTGTAAACTTCGTGTAGCACTTATTGTTGGCTTCAAATTATATATTAATAAAATTGTTGACATTATAATTGTATGGAAGTTTCTATCATTATTATCTACTGTGTGTATTTTTGTTGTTTTATAAAAATAAGTAACTAAAGGTGAGATTTTTAAGACATTTTTATTTTGTTTAAAAAGCACTTAAGGATAACTTTTTAAGTAGTTGTAGTCACAACGAGTCAGTATTGACAGGATACAAATGTAGAAATGATGCACTGCAAAGGTAAGTGAACACTTAGTTTATCAGCTGAGACGTTGGCGCTCGCGAAGATGGCTGAGCCGCGAGGGTGACAGTAATTGACAGGTCGGCGAGCATAGGACACTTGACGCACGTGCGAGAAGACTTGGGCCCCCGCACTAAGCAGGATGTCTTTAAATAGACTAAATACCTTTGTGAAGGCATGCCCTCCGAAGGGTGCCGGCATCCGGCTGCGATCGCGCACACGATTTGCTTCTAAAGAGGAAACTTATAAATAACTTCTTCAATTATTCAAAACCATTCAACTATAAACACAAAATACTTATTGCGTCTGAGTCAGTGGCTGCCGAGTCGTTTGTATCGCCTTGCTACTGGACCCTTATCGAACATCTTGCCGACACACTGTTTCACGGAATGCCCATTGTTTGATTAATAATCACGCACTTCTGTCTGTGAACTATGTGGAACACTTACATCGTTATTGTTAATGGTTCGGAAAATCACATTTTATATAAAGATTCCTCTTATAACATTACATATAACTGTTGCTATATCGCTTGATCTACATTTATGTACTTAATATTATAGATTAAAAATAAAAAAATATAGAACATAAACAGTAACATTGACAATTTGAATATGGTAATTGTATTTAATTTGACTATATGGTTCCTGTTTGATATAAAGGAATCTCTGTCTGAGAGCGGCGCGTCTTGGAGTATTGAGGACGTTGAAAGAGCGACGCAATAAAATCCGGATCATGAGATATTGTGTTCGCTCATGTGCTTGCACGTGCGTTCAGAGGGTCCCGACTGTATGTAAGTATGTATTTATGCTATACAGCAGGAACGTACCTGCACAGCGGACAAACAAGTGTTTCCGGTCATACCACTATATCCGGCGTATAGATTTATAGAATTCCGATATCTGAATAAATGATTGATATTAATTATTGTGAATTTATTTAGATTTTATTATTAATAGAATATAAGAAAGTTTTTTAAAATATTAAGCGTATTCTTCCTTCTTCTCAAGAAGTTGTTGTTTTAAATTTAAATTTTGTGAGGATTGAAAAGGGTTTTCGTGGGTATTGTACTCTTTAAAATTTTCTGTTTTTTTATTAATAACATTAACTAGGAAACTAGAATTACGAATAATGAAGGCATATTTACTATACATATTATTAGCTGATAAACTTTTGCAAAAGCTGTTTTTAGTTTAGTCAAATTAATTTTGAATCTCGTTAGGATAATTGTCGCTATATCTGAATTAACTTTATAACACCTGTATAATTTTGGTAACAAGCACGGTATACACCATAACAGTTATTAAAGCTATTTAAAACGTTTAAATGTAAACCGGTTGCTAAACAAATCCATATACATAGTGTTGAGTGATTTCGGTTTTGGAGAAGTGAACGCGTCGTTCAATCCTAGTGGACTCACAATAACAACGGGTTCCGCAGGTGACGTCAACTCAATAGCTGATTACACCTCCATTCAACACTACGTATACCTGGATAACCTGTTCCATTTATATAATGAATAAAAAGAAACATATCAATACTTCTTACTATGTTGTTTACATTTAAATGAAAATAGTACAACGTTATGTGAATCCCAGTTGTGCGTTTGTGATATGGAATTCATTTCACATTATCTTTTGAGTTTTATATGTTTAAAACAATTACTATTTTGGAAGAAATTGTCCATACACAGATAAGTTCCTTTTTGTCAACTAGTTACATTTTCTTGTATATTTTTCTATATAGTGGTGAGATTGGAAAATTATTTTAGATATTAAAATTATAATAAACTAACATTTTTAATAGGATGAATCACTAACAAAATATTTTTTTATAAATTTATTTGAAGTCGTTAAGACTAAAAGACCTTCAAGTACTTTTTATTTTACTTTTTTTTTATGGGTTCCTAATAGTAGGTGAAAATAACAAACATTTACGTAAATATGCTTTAGCTAAGTATATAAAAATATTACCCTCTTAAATAACATCGGAAGTAAGTAACAAATCATAATTAAAATAATATAATAATTACAGCAACAAATGCATTAAAAATAACAAGCCAGTAAATGCGGAGGAACATAACACATACTCTCACAACAAAGGAATATACTTTATGTAAAGTGTAATAAATAAATTCTTGAGAATATTTTATCTTTTACAATAAAGTATTATTGGGAATAGTAAAACTGTTATAACATGAAATTATGGACTTGTTTTATGATGAACAAGTCAACAATGAGCTATATTCTAATGTAGCGATCAACAGAGCGAGTCAAGTCCAATCAAGTGGCAATCCGAACGTGAATTTTAGTCACAACTTATGCTGCGCCCAAAGGAACTCCATTGTCTTCCATATCATTAAGGCCATTATATTTGCTTATTCAAGCATACTTTCATATTAAACTTTGATCATTGCCTGACGTCTTCATAATCATTTTGCAATAATCATTGTTTTATGATTCACAAACAATAGCATAATCACGATGTTAATAACAGTGTTTGTTACGACTTCAAACAGATTTCAACCTAATATACATGTTAATGTTGAGAAGAAACTATAAAGAGCACTTTCTTTATACTGAACCAATAATTATATTTATTGCTGACTAAAATACTGCATTGAAATCATAGGACAGAAATAAGGCTGATAGTTGCATTAATATTACATATTACTTATGCAATAACAGAAATAGACACCTCTGTAAATTTATTATGCACACGTTTGACACGGATAAACAACTCCTTTTATTGTTAAGGCAAACGAAATACAATATTTATGTAGAAAACACTAATAAGGTCAATGGCAATTTGTTGCATAATGTGGACGTCCATCAGAAAATAGGCCAATATTGCGTAAGTTACAAACATATCATTAGTCTCATACACTTGTTTTTTTTAATAAATACTAAGTAATTTTAAAATTTTTCTATTTAAACATACCTACGAAAAGTTGTTTATATAATTATTTTGTTTACAATATCTTATGATAACATTTATTGTTGTTAAATCTTTTAAAATGATGCGAATGCTTTAATTTATTAACGTCAAACTAGTTTTAGCTAAAGATTTTTTGTATATAAAAAAATTAAGCAGATAATATTTCTTACTAGCCTCAACCGATCGATTGATGTTTAAATTCACATCATATTACGAATTTAAGAATGAGGCGGCGCATTTTTTACCTTACTTTGGCAGTTAAAGCTCGAAGGTCATAAAACGGAACCAGATTTCGAAGACGATGGCCTGTAAAAGTTTCACAAGAGTTGGCTGTAAGTCGTAACCCATTTTGGTTATAATTCGCCGTGACGCGGAGCTTTTAAAGCAAGCCCATAATATTGGGAGACGGCCATCGCCCAAAACAACAATGAGGTACTGTTACCATAATGACACTTTACGAGCGCAAACATCGAGCCGCACTCGCAGACACGACAGGCCCGTGGTCGGAGTGCACGAATGTGGTCCACATTGTTTCCGTATAATACATCGAGACTGACATTCACGGTTACGGAAACTGGTGGTTGGACACAAAGCGCTCGGACTTAGATCGGATTAGTCTGGAGCCAGTCTAGACTTACATTTATTTAGACGACATGAATAATTTGATAAGTTCTTGTATGACATTTGAAAAAGTATTTGTAGACTGGAACGAATTATTAGACATTTAAAAATGATGTTTTTGTTCAGTTTACTGTCGGTGTAAAACTTATATTAACATATAACGTTGTTTGATTTTTTAAGTTGTTTTCTATTATTTTATGTAATACAATAGAATAAATCGTTCATGGCATAATATCATAGCGGATTATAATAAACTTGATCAGTATACGATTGTAAATTAAACGGTATTTTAACAAAAGGCCTCAGCGGCGTGTAGAAGCCAGCAGGTTCTTGAATTAGTGCAGACCACATAAGCGGTGCTCAGTGGGCGGTCGATAGTATGACACGTATCGACGTTACGTTACACGGAGACCACAGCGTCGCGGGCTCGCAGCCTCACAGCCTCACTGTTCACGCACGCGATCCACTGAACAAACTGACATTGGTCAGATTTACTGCTTCCACGTCGTGCACTATATGCCAGACGGTGTGGTCCAAACGACGCAATAGATTGCGGCTCCTTTGCAAACGATCAACTCGTTAACTACCTAATATGGAGAAGATAACCTTCTTACCATTTCTAATAAAGCATGAAGTATGTGGGCTACAGATAAGTTGGATGTCTCTTATCGATAGCGCATGTTAACATTGTTGTGGCCGTAACGTATAGTGCCATGTGCTGGCAGACAGCTCCATAGCGCGTGGGCCAGGTGCAGCAATCTCGGTAGTGATCACGGCGCACGCGCACCCTCACTGAGCTTTTAATAAATTTCAATACATCCAAAAAAATATATAAATGAAAAGATGGCGACGTCAAACAAACCGGTGCCGGTGTTCGGGTGCAAGTGGTGCAACTATGAGTTCGCCTGGCGCTGTTGGTCCGCTCTCCCCAGCGGCCGTACGAAACGCTGCCTGGCTGCTAGGTGTGCAAACAAGTTTTGATTAAACGAAAAGGTGTCCCGGAACGGGTGTGCCCGTTTGGCTTAGTAATTACGTTTAATTCGATATTTGTTATTGTTAACTATTTAAGATAAACGAAATATATATTAGACTTGGTGCTATTGAAAGAGGTAAATAAAGTTCTATTATAATCACTGATTTTAAGGAGAATTTATTTTATTAACCAAAAATAGCTTTTGTCGATTTTGTTGAATCCCAACATAAAAAGAATATGCATAGAATACAGTCTAGACTTTCAAGACTAGACTTTCAAATCAGCCTTAATATTATTAAATCACTTGAGATATCTTTTCCCATTGAATTTTTTGCTATACATATATGGATATAAAAAAGAATATATAACATGTTCTGTGAATGTCAAGTTATTATTTAACATTTGCGAGATGTTAATCCGCTAAACCTAAATTAATTAATTAATCTGACGCTGTAGTTGATCCATGAGGATAGTATTACATAATCTAAACTAATCTCAGACCGTTACCCGTCGTTTACGCTCCTCTTAATCCCAAAGCCCTAACGATGAACTTGCTCGGTCCTGCTCTGCAGTGATGCAGCTGCCCTAAAACCAACCCCAGGTTTCCCCCTTACCTTTGCACTATTAATAAATACCTCTTCGTTAAGGTACATAAAAAAATTCTTTATAACGGTAAGATTTTACAGAAAAAAATAACATTTACATGTGGGAACCGTGACATTTCTGTTTCCCTGGATTTTATTTTAAACAGTTTCTTTATAGATGTATCCCAAAAAAAAAATTGCACTTTATTGTTAGGAAAGTATTTATTATTTTATTGAGAACTATACTTTTAGTAAGAATAATAATTCTTATCTATCTTTCAAATAATTTCACACAAAAAGATGCATGTCTTAAATTTGTCTCAGCACTTTTTACCTAAAAGCATTCCTTTTTGGTTTTATTTCGTGAGAAGATAAATTGTTTATATATACATATTTATATATATAGAAAGTAATTTAAATATTCGTTTATCATTTATAACAAATTTCAACCCATTAGAGCGTGAATAAATCAAATTATTTGAGATTTGTGTATTTCAATATAACGTTGACGAGGTTGCAACAGTTTTCTGATTTGCTTTGTCTAATAAAAGACAATTAGATACAGTTTCAGATTTCTTAAAGTATAAGTATCTGTGTTAAGTATTATTAATGAGTCATTTCATATGTATAAATATTTTTCTGTTTGTTTTATTTCATAGAATAGCCTCTTAACGGATTTTAACTATGATGTAATTTTTTTCCTTAAATTTAAACGATTTCATAGTTAAATATATGGATATATTATTTATATGTTTACCCCAAGTTCTCATTTTATTTGTAATAAGTAGCAAAATAAGATTTCTACTTACATTTAATTGTTAACTTAATTTTGTTATAAATTATAATTATCACTTAAGCCTTACATTACAAAAGAAAATTTTTATCACTTCTATATTAATTAATTATATTATGATTTTTAAAACATTAAACATTTTTGAAACATGAATATTTTAAAATTTTCAAACAAAAATTAAATAAAGCAGAATATGTTTTATATCGCTTTGATTATATATAAAAATGTACATCAAATATTAACGACTTGTTCTAAAGAACAAAGAAATATGTTTATACCAACAATTAGACTACAAACAGACGTAAGTCGTAGATTGAGGTGAATATTATAAGTATGTAGTAGTGTGCGTTGTTCGTGTGTAAGGAGGCCGGGGAATGCGCGACTCGCAAGGGTGAAAGGTGCCCGGTGACGCCCGTCTCTATAGCGTGTGCCGAAATCTCAGCTGTTACAGCCGTTTATATACAGGGTGCTTATTTAACACAATTAATATATGATATTTTAATTTCTTTTACTTATTTTAATGCCTGAAAGCTTTTGTCTGCAGCATACCTACTCTTTGTTGATTTATTTTGAAAGAGAATATTATTTTATAAAACTTATTACATATATTCATATAATTAAGTTTATCAAACCTTCAGAAAAGTTAGTATTATTTAACGGTCAGCTATAAAATTTCTAGTTAATTATTTCATCCTAATTGACATGTTGTTTCATTTGAGTTAATGAAAGACATAATCTGTTTGTGGTTTAAAGAAAAATATTTAAAAAGCATCAACCTGTATATGGATACTCAATCCATCTGTATTAAAAGTGTTTATAAAAGCGTTGAATGGCCCTGTGTGCTTTATATAGAACTATACAGCTATGCCATTATTTAAAATTAAACTACTCACCTACCTGCAGGTTTAAATAATTCGAAGCAGAAAGGGCAAAAGTGCAGAATATTATGCTGGGACAAAGGGTACTCTATGGACATAATAAAATCCTGACCTATAAGAAAAAACGTATCTAATTCCAACGTCATACAGTCTATAATCGTTTAGGAGCATAAATCACAGGGTAACTCCGTAACTAGTGATTTCAATAATAAAATGCTGTATGCGTTTACATACAGACGTCGGTTACGTCGTTCGATTCCGGTGATCAGAACAATGAATGGGGGGACCCTAATCGACGTGTTTATTTCTAAAAGGTATTATGTCGTATGAAACTTGGGGTGATTTCATAGATGTCGTACGAAGTTTAGGTCGTTTTATACCTAGCAGCTCTCTCGTTGCAGATGTGCGATTCGGGTAGACATGTGATTCTGCACGCGATCCAGCTGCCGACATAGCTGTGCACTGATTCAATTCAATGCTGGGTCTCTCGTGGGTGCCTACAGCTTTGTAGTCTATGAACAGTAAAGGTCGACAAACAATGTCATAGATACACACAACAGTGACGCTCGCAGCTCAGGTGTTCGATGTTTAAATCGTTACACAATGTCATATAAAATTATAGGAATTCCCTGTGACATCTGTTTATGATTTTACGTGGCTAGGGAATTTATTGTTTATATGACAAATTAATTAACATTAATATGTTTGAAATAACAGACATTTTATGACCGGAAAATATTACCTGGTAATAATATTTATGAAGTGAAAATAAAATTTTGTAGCAATTGTTATGTTTGTATGGCATATTTTGTAACTTATCTGATTATTTATATATATACCTATAAAAATCTTGTTTCTTTTTCAAAACTTCATATCGATTTATATATTAATGTTGGAACATATAACTTTAAACCTTTCTCCTCTCGCATAATGTACATGGAGCTACAACATTGATTTTATTCATATTAAATAATATATGCGATGAATTAACCGCCAATTGTGTGACATTGAAAGCGTTCCATATATCGCGTCCCACCTGCCCGCGGCGCCCCTGTCCATGGCTATTTCCGCCACGGCATAGCGCACGTCCCCTGCGCAGGCGCAGCTCGTGCCGCGACCGTTACGCACGCGCCCCGGAGCCCGCAGCCCCCGCCCCGGCCCCCGCGACCTCGCACCTGGCCGACGCAGCCGTCTCCCCTCCATCACGCTGATGACACCCCGTTTGACTGCGATTACCCGACGCCTCCTCGTTACTAGTTTTATTGCCATTATAAAATATTTAATTATTTATTATCATCGACGTTATTGAGACCACACAAAATGATTTACTTCTTTGTTTAAAATTCTTATGATTTTCGATTGTTTATTTATGTATAACTAATCTTCTAATGACATTTTCTAGTTAATGATAACTACGTTATTTATTTTGCAATATTTTTCTTTATTTATACTTTATAGGTACTTATTTTTTTACAAACCATTTAGTTTGTTTGTCTCTCAATTAAAATATGTAATAGACCTGCTTTATTATACTAGGTATATACAAAGATATACATTAAATTGAGATGTTTTTCGTTAACACATTAGGGATCGTTAATAATTTAACCAACTTAAAATATTGGCGTATCGTATGTTATACAAAATAAATAGATAATGACAAAATAAAAAATATTTCAAGAACAATAGAGTCTTCATTTTAATCCACACTTTGTCATATAAAAACCTAATGATAATGATGATTCACAAACAGACAAACAATCATATGCCTACAGCACCCTATGTATATATATATATATATATATATATACCATTATGCCGTGACCTATTTATAATCAGCTATTAATATCGATACATCGGTTTGTTTACATATTTGTTTGTTTGTTTACAATCAATCGTCTTCCTATGAATTGTTTACGTTTCCCAGGACGATAACGATTCATTCATGAGCCCTCTCGATAGCTACTTAAGTAATGACTGACAAAACATATCAATAAAGTAAATTAGTTTGAATATTATCATTATTTGTTGATATAAAAGTTACGATTGTAAACAATATAATTATGAGTAATATCATTAATATTTTAAAGAGATATATTTGAGGATCTTTGATATTCGCGTCTGGATTTTTCTGTGAAGGAAAATTAAATATGAAAACATGTATGTATGTACTTTTATTGAGTAATTATATATTGTTAAGTAAGGGATTGTATGATTGTCCAATGTCTGTTTTCCAATTATCTTGTTTAGTCACAGTTTGATGATCAATGATCAGCACGTCTGTCTTGACACATTATAATGACTCATGATATCATGATATCGTTTTACAACAGAAGGTCGTCCGAGGATGATGCGGATATCAAGAAAACATGACATATTATATATATATGAAAAGAAATAAAAATTGGATCGCCTTTAAAGAGTCTAAAGCGTCATTGGCCCGTTAGTTGTTAAGTATATATTTATATAGACGTAAAGTTTGAAAGCATTTCTTTGTATCAATAGATAGAGTCAGCATAACTGTAAGTAAGATTTAGTTAATCCATATACTCATAAATAAAAGGAAAAACGTCTCAGAGACGGCTATTAAATAATAATAAGATGGACGGAGCAACAAACAAGTTTCTGTGAGAATACCTAAATCGACCAGGGAACATCGTATCTGTGGGAATGAACAGTTCGAGTAACTACAGTGAGCAACAATAACATCCACGGACGTAACACTTCCGCGTTCAAGGGGTTGATGTGACACAAGGAAATCTTTAAACAACCGGTTCTGTTTCCGGTTGGTGGCAAACATTATTATTATTTGCTTACACTATCTACTCAATATACCGACACAATATATGTACTGTTGCTTTAATATGAAACATCAACAAATATTTAAACAACTTTATAGTACTTTGTTAAATAAGTCGTATATAGTTATGTATTAATGAAGTGTCGAATAGATGTATGTGATATGTATCTATATAAGGCATAGCTTCGTGTCTCACGTCTAATGTTATATGAAGCGTCAATTAAAATGCTGAATGAGCATTTTATTGGAGCACTTGTCGAGGTATGGATCTGTTGTGGCGATGATATCGGAATCCGCTGATGTAGAGAATTAAAACAATCTTTATTAGTATAGAAATATATATTGATTCATACAAAAACATTAATGTTCTTTTTGCGTGCGTACTATTAATTAAATTTTCCTCTCGACCTTACCGGTCAAAGTTCGATATCGAATAAGGTGAGATGAACTCCTCAAATGGTGAGCAAGGTCTGCTATCTCTGGCTTGTGTTAAAAACATTTTATTGTTCTATCAAACATAATGTAAACATTTCCATAAACTGTAACTGGGTCATAGTCTGTTTAATTTAGAACGAATGACATACCTTTGTCTGCTTAAGGAAGTTGGAACTAAGTGTTATAATATTTTTAATTATATTATTTGATAAATAATATAATGTCCTTTATTTAAATTATACATTCTATAAAGTTAAAATTAAATTCTAAATGCAAAATTAGAAATCCATTAAAATTAAAACAACATTCCAGTCTTTCCTAAATTAAAACCTCCAAGCAGACATGTTTTTTGGTCATAATAAAATAGCCGATGTAACGTAATATCTCATATTATTATTAAAAACGTCGCGTTCGTCTCAAACCGTCGGTTCAAAGGTGCTTAACCCCGAGAGATTCGCAAAAAAATGAGATCTCGTTGTCGTCGGTTCCCGTCGTGGAGCATATCGCACAAGGCGGCCGGGCCGGGTGCGCCGGCGCAGGTGCCGCCGCCGCCCCGCGCCTCCATTGGCCGTCCCCTCGCTCCGCGGATTGGGCCCGGCGCACGTGCTCGGCCGAGCTCTCCTCCACCGCCGCGCCACCTGGCCCCGGCGCACGGGGAGCGCTTATAAGGCCGCGGACTTCCCTCACCGCACCACTTCCACTCTGGACGTCGACGAGTGAACGCGCCCGTCGCTCACATCCAGAACACACAGCTACGCGCTACGACCGCACGCCGCTTCCTACATACGACACATACAGTGATACGTGGACTGATCGGTTGTGAACTTGTGATTCGTTCTATATAAATAAATAAACGGTTTTATAGTTGAGTGTTTGTGATATAGTGCAAGATGCTCGTTGAAGATTCTCAAACGGCTCGTTCGTTGATGTCGAAGAAGTATGCGCACTGTCCGCTGAAGAAGCGACCGGTGCTCGTTCGGGAGGAGCGACCAGCGACGCCGCCCACTACACCGCCTCACCCCGCCCACATGGCCACCAGACTCTATTATGATTATCACTGTAAGTACCACTTTATAATTAATTAATTGTAACATATCATAATATAAATATTTGTAACAAGAAACTCAGAAAAATCTACAAAGTCAAATTAATTATTAGTGAGCTAATTTCGAACTATACAAAAAAAAAATTAGAAAAATTTGGAGGCAAAGTTTAGAAATAAAATAAAAAACAAATTTTGATATTATATTTTTAGATTCAAGTAAATTAATTAAGATTTTCCTTTCTTTGATAGGTGATACAGAAAATGATGAACCAGAAAACTTAAGCACAAAACCGGAAGATCTCTCCAAAACTGGCAATTACCCGAGTAAAGCTGCGTCACCGGTGTCCACTGCTGACATTAAATCTGAACCCAGAGAGTGGCCCCAGCAGCAGCTGGAGTACCTCGCCGCGTGTCGAGCTCGCCTGGAGCCGATGCCCACAGAACTGGCTCGTCCTACACCTCAATACGCATATCTCCCTACACTATATCCAGCTTATCCTATGGAAGAGCTCTACCCGACTGCCCCAGCCTTATCCCCTCCCGTCCAACCTCAGTACTACGCCAGATACTCCCCAGCATCACCGCCGTCCTCCTGCTCGCCGCCTCCCTGCCCTGAAGACCTCCGTTCCCCTGGCTCAGTCTCCTCTGACTCGGGAGTCTCAGTCTCTGGTCCTCGTCGTCCTCGCTACCAGTGCCCAGACTGCGCCAAGTCCTACTCCACCTACTCAGGGCTATCCAAACATCAGCAGTACCACTGCGCCGCCGCCGAGGGAAGTCTCGCTAGGAAATCGTTTAGCTGCAAATACTGCTCAAAGGTGTACACTTCTCTGGGTGCTCTCAAGATGCACATAAGGACTCACACCCTGCCGTGTAAGTGTCACCTGTGCGGGAAAGCCTTCTCCCGTCCGTGGCTTCTTCAAGGACACATCCGTACTCACACCGGTGAGAAGCCTTTCTCATGCCACCACTGCCGGCGTGCGTTCGCCGACCGATCGAACCTCCGAGCTCATCTCCAGACCCACTCCGATGTTAAGAAATACTCGTGCACGGGATGCGGGAAGACTTTCTCCCGGATGTCACTGCTGAGTAAACATTTGGAGGGAGGCTGCGGGGCTCCCAGCACGTCTCCATACGAATACCGACCGGAGGCTCATCAGACATCACATCCACACCAGCTCCCGCCTTCCGCGCCCGTTCATGCCTATTAGAAGACTGACAAACAAAAATCTATGTAGATCTCGAACAGTAGATTATATGACCTACCGCTTACCATTAAAAAGACAGTTTAATTATTATTTAAAAAAAAACAACTTAAATTATTATTATTTTTGTAAATTTGTAGTTATAATGTGAGTTTTAATTGTAAGAATCTTATAATCGTATTGTTTGTGGGACCAATGTATTGTATGCTCTTTGGATGTTTGAAGTTTATAATAATTATTTTGTATATATTTCGTCGCTATGTTCGCGTCGTCGCTAGTCATGTGGCATCTGCCGAGTGTCATACACTTATATGCATATATTCATATCCTTAGCCATGTACAAAGTGCCTTAATTTAATTATAGTTATAAATGATTAATATATTCATGAGAAAAAAATTTTTTAAACGTTGTCATAGTTAGGGTTATTTAATATGGAATACAAAAATCACTATGAGGCTGTAAAATTATGAAATAGTTATCGTTTTGCGTTCCTTTCTGTTACCTAAGTAACTTGAAAATATAAGATGATTTGAAAAGATTATTATCTATTATTTGTGAAACCCTGATTGAGAAACGTTACCGATTTATTATTTACCAACATTTCAATTTACCAATCATTGAATTATAAACTTCTTTCAATAAACATTGACGACAGGTCGAAGCACAGAGATATTCTTAACTACTACTTACTTATTCTACTTATATTACAAATCCTACATAATTATGTCTTATAAATAAATGCTTATTTTATTATATATATATTATCAAATTTTTCATTTAAATTAGAACAATATATCCAGAACCCTGTTGTCTTCAAACTTTTTATTAGATAATAATCATTAATATCTATCTCAGTTGACACGGAACAAATGTTTTGGAATTACAGTTTCCTTTTCCTTTCTTCCTTACTTGTATATTGATAAAGTTATACGTAAGTTCTTTTAATTGACTATTAAAATAACAATGCACAGAAATTTTATTTCTATTACTTAAAATCTTTAAAAATAATTTTTATACTTAATATAATAAATTTTAAAAAAATACAATTATATTTAATACTACCCATTGTAGAAAGCTGTTGCTGTATCTCCAAAGTAAATGAAATATTGTTAAATTTTCATCAAATCTTTTTTTCTACTAGACTAAACGTTAATAAATATAATATTTTGCGATCCTTTAACTTAATTCCGATATAAAATAAAAAAATATTTAAGTATTATTTTACTAATATCCGACAACTTTAATATATAGAAAATAAGTGTAGTTATATAAAAATAGAACGCTTAATCGTAGGTTTTGACCAGAATTTCTTCGAGATTCAAATATAAGCTTTTATAAAAGTAATGCCATCTAGCGGATTTACAGATAATATTATTCATAAGATTTGTATTAAAAGGACTTCAATATTTTTTTAATAATACTTTGATAAATAAAAAAACTGTATATATTTTTTTTTATTAAAATCATTATTACAAAGCGTAATTATATTATATAAATTTAATTTATTTAATTATCTAGCGCCATCTATCGGTATCCTGGTTGAAGGATCAAATGTAATAATATTTCTTAATTGAATAATTTCCACCTTTATCGCAAAGACGAATTACGACGAGCGTAATCAGTTCCAAATAATTTGGTATAAGCGGAACCAGTTTTTACATAAACGTCTAACATAGTCCTGATAGCAGAAAGTGGTCCAATAAGATAACCATCGTTTCTGTATTAGCCTCTGACCCTGTCAAGCAAGTGCACGTTTCTTTAACTTGAGATACTTACCATTGAATAACACTTCCAATCGAAAAGACTTAAATTTAGATAATATCTGAAAAAATTCTTGAACAATTATTAAATGGGTGTCGACATAATTAGACGTGAAGTAGCTCTGAGGTCAAAGAGCGTATTAAATACTTATACTGGATTTATTAATAGAGTTTTTGTTGGTATTGTGGCTATGATATAGGAATAAATATAAAGTATGAAAATTTGTATAGAATTTATTTAATTATTAATTACTTTTGTTTAAACATTACTTTTTTGTTCAACAGAATATGTCGTCCAACATGGAATTTTACCTGAATAGTATCGTATATTTTGACAATATATAAATACGATAACATCATATTAATATTTGTAAATTGAATAATATTTATAAAATAAAATTTACAAATAATGATCCATTAACAACAGCTCAAGAAAACTAAAATAGTATGATAATCGTAAAATACATTTAAATAAGCTGTAAGTTATCATATAGATTACGCGGTGGAGTGTAGATGAGCTGGTAAGAGACAATGAATGCCAACATAGCCACATCAGCCTACACGAATGCCAATTAGAAATAGTCGGTGAAGTTGTTGAAGGCACGTGCGGTGAGACTCGGTGATTGGTCATCGGCGGACGCCGGCGGCGCGTCGCGTGCGCTGTGTCTATACACTATCTCACAGTACACAAACTGGGTGATTCTGTATTAAAAAAAAACTTCAACGATTCATCTATACACATATTCATATATTTTATGTCAATATTATTTTCTTATTTAAAATATATTAGTATTTAAATAATATATCATCTATAATATAATTTCTAATACGTATATATAACATTATAATAGTAAAGGTATTCGCAACTTGTTTCAGAATCACCCTCCTAATTAATTAATTCCTTTGCTATTTGCATCGTGATAATCTAATCCGAGATTGACCAGCGATATCTTTACTAATTAGAATTCACACTTAATAGTCTAATAGAACTTTGAACTTCTAACTATAATTATTTGTGATCTCCTCGCGTATAGAACCGGTTCGATCGTTAATATGACCTCGTTTGGAATTTTCATTGTTATATATCTCATTAATATATTCCGAACGGTAATATTTATATATAAAAAATATTATTTCTAATAAGCATATGTAGTTTTATTTCGTAATATTTATTTAATATTTTTTATATATTCAATCAAGCAAAGTTACATATATATCGTTGAATCCATGAAACCTTATAGTATTAAGATGGTAGTAGTGTAGTAGTGGCTGATCCTATGAGTAGGAGCCTATCTGATCCCTTGGATTTAGGAGCAGCAGCGGCAATGCAGCAACCGGAGCCTTCGATAAGCATGATTTGTAACACGGCACGTCAACGCGTGCGCACAAATAAACGAGATTTCAATGCGCGCCTCTCAATAAATTATATAACCCACTCTTGATATGACAATCTTACGATTTATAATCTATAAGACTATATATAAAATAGAATGATCTAGAAAGTATGTATGTGTGATACAAATAATGTTTAATGATTAACAAACAAATCATAAATTAATGCCAATATACAATAGAGACATTCGAAAGTTATTAAGAGCATTAATTTCTATGAACCGCTGATGAAGTACCAGCGGCTGGCGGGTCTTACACTCATACAGCACAGTGTCACGTGAGCTCATTACACTGATTCAAGCCATCGTGATATACAAACACGTTCCGATACACTTTCGTATCATTTATTGTACTATTAATACATATGACCTAGTAGCATCGAATATATTATAATATATACAATAAAACTTATAAACTGTCTTATTTTAAGTTAAAATAAGACATAGTTTATAAGTTTTAGAATTATTTTAGTTATTTTAAGGTTTATATTTACTGTTGGTGGTGGGATTTTTATTAAGGGAACGATGGGACTGACATTTAGCTTTGCTGCTAAAAAGTCCCAAAATAAAATCAGAAAAAAAAAAAAAATATACAAACTTTTTTGTTGCATTTTTTTTTATAAACACATCGTAGGTTAGAGTAAAGAGGTTTTAATGTAGAAAATATTTCCGTTGATATTTCTTTATAACCATATAAGAATATGTTTACAGTAAATCGCTAAAGCACAATGGCTAAGGTTAAACGCGCCATCACTGCTTCACACGTACCTATGTCTTTAAGAGGCGGTAATTATTCAAATGCTAGATAAGCCTAAATCAGATACATTCTTTACCTATTTACTCGATTAATTAACGTTTGTTTGTTTGTTTGTTTGTTTTGTTTTGATCCCAGTTTGAATAGATTTAAGCCGCGTTAGTAGAATATATTATATCTATAAATAATACATGGAAACCGGCGTCTGTATAGAATGAGGTGTGTGGCGACAATGGTGCTAGTCGGCTCGATAAATCGCATAATCCTATGCCAATAACTACAATAAAGACGGTAAGGTATAGTACTGGCGTGGGCGAGACGCTTCAACGCCTCCCAACAGATTATTCACTGGTAGCGGACCTTTGCGGATTTTACTAAATGGATTCTAATACTTTATGATCTTAAGCCCCGCTACGGTTACTATAATTAACTTAAACGTCTACTTATAAATTAAATATCAGTACTTCCGAACCGTTCCTATACAAAAGACATCAACGATCACCTATATATGTTCTAAGTTCGATGTACAATTATAGTCACATTCTTGAAAACAGTTATGAAATTTATACTACAATATCATCACTATAAAAAATTGAACCACTTAAATAAATTTAGTATCATAAATTGTGATTTTAATTTTTTAGGTATAAGATTTAATATTCATATAAATATATATAAAAGTACGTAAAATCATTATCAGAACTAGTTTTTTTCAATGTTTCTCTTAGAAATGGTATTGCAAAATATTTTTTATAATTTAAATCAATCAAAACATATATGATATAGTTAAAGGCTGTTGATATATTAAAACAAATTGATATGTCTTCATACCATTAAAATATTTTTCACTCGATCCTATATGTAAGTATTTCATATCTTTCCCTTCCCATGTTTATTTCCTTTCTCGTCTTTCTAATTAAAGATTCCATATACAAAGCCTGGTAAGTTATTATATGGATTATTTATGGTGTCTTTGTTACGAGTTCGTTAAAGTACAAAAGAGAACATAAACAGTCTACCACACGTATTAAACATATGACTAGATTCATTGTTGTTCACATTTTATTGTTTGTTATATTAAAATTATATCAATTTAAGTGAAGTTTTGATTGCTATTAAATAAACGGTAAATAAATTACGATTTCCAGCTCTAGTTATTAAATTTAATCGTAATTTTATTGTTTATTTTATGTTCTGTTTGTTTTAAATCGTTTAATCCATATTATCGGTTTTAAATTCAATCCAAATGTGTTTGGTTTTAGAATGAATTTGACACTATACGCTATATGTAGTACATATTTCTTCTCATTCTTAAGACTTTTGATTCTTTGATTAAATGTTATACTCGTTTTTACCTTATTATGTATAAAAATAGAGTATTATTTTTCATTTTTGTGATAGTTTAAAGTAGTTATTAATAGAAGTACCGTATCAAATGAGTGTTAATCAAACACAATACAGTATAGACGTGTTACAAGTTGTGCGCGGGCGTCGTTGATCCTGGCGGTATAAAAATTAACCGCTGGATAACGGACCGTGTAGGCGCCGACCCTTACCTTCGACATTACACTACACATATACATACCAACATATACAGGTGACTGGTGAATTACTATCAATATTTAAGGAGAATACTCGGTACATGATTCTCATTCGAATTATGTAAAAAAATAGGCACTTAATTTTTGACCAAATTTCCGTATAAATAAATAAATGTTGACACGTTCCAAATGTTCCAAGTGTGGACGTATATGTGTGTGTGTGTGTGTATACCTAATCTGTAGGGTGTTCACACGATGCGTAATTAATTACATAACTTTTGGTTAACTTTACTTAGAAGTTTATTAATATTTATGTTATATTAATTTTTATTTTGTCATATATGATCGTAAAATATCACGTCCTCAAGTATCGATAGTAATTCACCAGTCACCCTGTATATATGTAAGATATGACGTCATTAATTATTATAAGTGACGAAGAAAAGAAGCTTCTAGAATGTTATTGTTTTTATTCTATAATTCTATTCATATATCGCACTTAAAATTTAGGTTAAATTAAATACAGTGTACAACTAATGATAGGAATAACTTCCCGCAACATTATGTTATATAAATGAACATTATAATACAGTTTCATTTTCATATAAATTATTTTTTAATTACAATCAAGCAAAAGCTTCATTATCACGACTGGAGAGAATCAGTGTTTATTATATGAAAGTTAAACGTTAATACTGAATTCCGTTTTACTTTCTTTTTAAAGATACACAATATCTGGGAAACATAAAAAACTTAATAATATCAATAAAAATCGCCACCACTAACTAAAGATGCAATCGTTACGTGCGAAGAGAAATCAGCGTATACACTCGTCATTAAGAAGAATTCGTTATATGGCAACAGTAAAATCTGTAACAGCGTCTATATAAATAAAATAACAATGAATAAAATGGATATAATAGCAGGTGAAATCGCGACAGGTTCGTGTATCGGGTCGTAAGTAATTATCAATAATATATAGCAACCTCTGGTCGAGTCGCCTCGCCTCGCCTCGCCTCGTCTCGCCCCCACGACTTCCTCATAACATATCATACTTATCAATATTCGACACAGATCAGTTCACTCCTACCGACCAGCTACTATCTAAACGACGCTAATGAATCACATTCTTGTTCTATCCGTCACATTATACTAATTAAATCCATCTTTGTATTTAATGTTATCTACCTATTAGTAATATATCGTGTTTATTTATAAGGTATCCGATATGTTGTTATTTAATTTTAATATGTAATATGTAGTTTTGGTTGTTTCGAGTTCAACTGTCTTGTGTATGACCGTTAGAGGAATGTTAGCATGGAGTTGTAAAAACTAGTAATGTCACGCTGATAGGGGTAGAGGGTGTCGGTCAACAGAGCGTAGCGGAGCCAGCACGCGCCGATGTTCTCCCCACACGTGCCAAACGTCCGTTTCAATGTCATTTTGATACAATAGATAATAGCGACAAAGTTCTTATATATTATACATATCCTAGACTGAGTTGCGTAATCTCTGGCGGGCTCTGATAACCTTTGCACGCAGCGTAGGCGATCTAGTTGTTCGCTCGCCGCGGCCACCCAGCGGGCAGATATTATCCTCAATATTTTTCTATCTCCCACTGGGTTAATATGTGACGTACTTTATTATACTATGAAAATATTTAAATTGTACATAGTCATGTCGATTTGCAGTTTTATAGACGGAAATATCTGTTATACATCGGTTGGAAACGAATTTATTGTACTTTGATGCTATCTGTGATATATAGAGGCTTGGGAAACATTCTAACTATTGTTGCATGTTATCGCTTTCTGTTACTGAAAGCAATCATATAACATTTAAGAACACAAGTGCAACCGTTACAATTTGTAAACTATATATAACTGTTTAGTGGTGGTTGTTGTAGTGACAACAGTACGAGAGTCACCAATACAAGGGAAACATTCGCACACGTACTATAACTCACTATGGTTCTCAGTGAACAAGAACAGTTACACTACACAGTGGAATATATCACGATTGTAGATTAATATGTCTAATACTATTGTCACTGTAATTGTTCTATATATGGGTATTAGGGTATAAAATCTGTCGACGAAATTATGTTGTATTTAAAATATATGTTCTATAAATAAATAATTATGTAGTATATTTTGTTACTCAGCAAATAATGCCTACAATGATGATTATGCATAAATATAAAACAATTAAAAAGTTGCTCTTAAAAAGTATTCAAAGAGAAAACTGTATCGCGTTTTGGATTTAAAAGACTATTTGTGTAATGACACTTGATTTTTTTGAACTAATATTAATGTTAATATTAAAAGTTTGAAAAATTTAATTATATTTAAAAGGTTTATAATTTCTACTTGTCTCAAGTGTATTGTACCAAATTCTATATTGACGTACTTGTGTTATAGGATAACATAGTAATTTCAGCTATTGTACAACACTTCGATAGATGCTATATTTTTACAATACCAGTTATTTAATACAATTTAATTATATTTATAATTCAAAAAAAAATCCTAGATGGTTAAAAAAATTACTACGTGTATAATTAAAACTATGTGTACAATTTAAACTACGTGTGTGTTTTCATAAACCATATATTTGTTGACCTCGTAAGTTATGATATCTCTATAGCAACAGGACAGTATGGTGAGCGTCAGGTGCCGTCCACGGTTGGTGGAGCAGCAAGTGCTGGGGCGTGCGGCGGTTAGCAGCAACCAGTTGGCAGCAGAGCAGCACACGAGCCGACAGGTGTACGACACGCTTGAACAACACTTACAAGACATGTATGAACAACACACACAAGACAATACAAACTCACTAGCTATGAATAGAATAACTAAATATTGAGAAATACATTTGACGGACGGCTTTCCGATTTATAAACTACCTATATGGCAAAAATGTACTATTTTTTTTTAATATTAATATGTGTTGTACGTTTTATATAATAGGCCAGTGCAGAAGCCTTTAAAATTAATGAAAAGTGAAAATAAATTATAGTCGAATGAAACTCATTAGAAAAGGAGGAGAATATTATAAGAATTAAAGGAAAAATAATTTACGGGTGATCTGAGGTGATTTTTTGATTGAAAATGAGACTGATTTTTCGATATATATTCAAAATAAGCTGAAAAAAATAATAAATCTAATCAAATAAATTACAGTGTATTTGTAACTTTAAAAGGAAAGTTTTCACCAAATTTAATGACAAAATATTGTTTTTTGTTAGAGATGAAAATAAAAAACCAAAAACTTGGTTTTTCGAATTTTTCACATAAATTTTGTGGTTATGTGAAAAAAATGTAAGTATAAAAGTTTTAGATCTTTTTATTACCTACAACTTTGCCATATAACATTTTTCCGTAGGACTTTTAGTTTTGCCGGAAATCGTGAAAACACATTTTTTACCCTTAATACCCATCCCCATACCCGTCCCGACCTCAGATCACCCGTAAATTATTTTTCCTTTAATTTTTATAATATTCCCCTCCTTTTCTAATGAGTTTCATTCTACTTTAATTGAATTATGTTTTAAAAGCTATCGGCACTGGTCTATAAGCATTAGATAATTTTATTATTTCGTATTCTTAAATTGTAACTTATATGGTAAAGTATAACCTTAACAAGTCGAACTGTTTTAAAATAATGTTAACATTCTAAAGGTATTAGCGGCATTGTAATTAATTACGTACAGTTTCGTTTCTGTTACTTTTAAATGTCTAATCATGTGGGAGATAAAATGCAAATTGCTCGTTCACTTACAGTCTACTACGCTTACGCTAAAGCGTCATTAATATTAAATATAAAAACGAGCTACCTCGTAAAGCGATAATCTCACTCAAAGTAACAAACATTACATAATATTATACAGTAATCTGAGTTATGATTCGTAGTTTAAGATACACAATAATAAATAAACTGCTTTCATTACGAACGTATTGCACGTTTATGGCATTTATAAAAGTGGTTACAATTTTTGAAATGAATTTGTGGGAAGTTTCGAAGCGTTTTGATGAGGAGCATTATCAATCAATCGGGGCCTCTAAGGCTCGCGACACACGCGCGTCTGGACCGACCGTCGACCGTCGAGTGCTTCGACCTCACGCACGCGCAATTTACAGCTTTATCACCCGTTATTATTCTTAATAATATACTGCACCGCGTCAACGCATTAACCTCATCAAAATTCGTAACTTTTTATATTAATTACGTTGCCATTCATGAGGGGAAAATCGAAAATTCGATAAATTATTTAAAAGCATTTCACTGCCGATAATTCTTGTTGTTTTTATACTTTTTTTTTTGCTCGTCTGAACATGAATATAAATCATTTAGAACGGAAAAATCTTTAGTACATCTTCAATCTTCAGATTACGATCTTTCTCGTATGTAAAGATTTTAAGTTCTTCGCATTACAAAAAGCTGTTTAAAACTCATTACATCACCGTTATGAGCCGATAAGACCGTGAAATTTTGGTAATTGGTAATGTGTACTGTATAAGGTACCTAAAATTTGTGACAGTAATTTATGCTGAGTTTTAAAAGAAATGCCAAATTTTGATATATGTTAGATTAATGAACGAAAAGTATATAATTAACGCCCTCAGATTACATACATTTTAATAGTCTTATGAACATAATCTTAAAAAGTAACTTTATTTATACCTTTATAAAAATAAAAGTAAAATTATTACTGTTCCATAAAGGCCGAAAGTATGTGATATGTGCCCAATATAAAAAATGTTAATGGATTCAATACAAAGTATATCAAGTTGTGATTGATAAACGGGTATCATAAATACCTTACAATGTCGCAGTGGTATTTTGAGAGAATCGCAGCCGTGTGCCAGTGTCCATTACGATGTAATCAATCATCGAATACGGTTAGGACAGCGTCGCTTTTGGTCTGACGCAGCTTTCGACACGGGCGCAATCAATATGGCAGATAATATGATAACATCCAATGTTGGCTCAGTCCGAGTGCATCGGAACGTCTTGTTCAGAAATGTACGCATTACATTACACTCATGGCGTCACCGCGACACCGACTATACATTTACAACAAATAAATAACAATCGGTGTACTAATGAAATAATATTACAAATTACGTTAACCGAACGTGAGCTTGGAAATGTTACATTTCTTCCTTAACACTTAAGTGCATGTGAATAGCGCGTGCGCGGTGTTATGTAGAGTGCTCTTAACATAAGTGTTGATGTGCCGGAGTGGGATCATTTATTATTTTATCGTGTGATTGAATCTCATGTTTGTATTTTGCTATGAATTATTTTGGTGATATTTTTCAGTTACAATTAATTATAAGCTTTAATCGAGTGTTCGAACTTCAGCTTGGCAGCTGTAAAACAATCAAATACAAAATAGGAATTTATGTAGTTTCTATGAGATTGTGAATTCGTTACAAAAACGATAAACTATTATGGCTATGTGTGGTAGTAGATGGTCATCTCTGTCACTTTTAGAAATGGTCATGCGGGTACAGGTGCGATGTACGCTGACGTGCAGGTAACACTACCAACTATAAACACAATTCTATTCACCTGTGTCATAATAACATGAAGAAGCTTTAAACAATACGTAATATCAAATTCAAAAAATGTATTCCATTAATTTTAAATTACTCGTAAATACATTAATACAATGTGACATGATCGAAAACAGTTTTTTTATCTTTTATATTTGAACTATTTTAATTGACGACGAACACAAGTATTTGCCGAATGCGATAATTACGCTTTAAATTATCAAGTGAAATGCGGTTTGGAGTCGATTAGTAATGGAAACTATCCATTAATGAGTGACATGAAACGGCTGCTATCTTTGTCCATAAGTTACACTGGCATTAGTAAGTCCAGAACTAATTGCGAAGGCGGACCAATTTCCCACCTAGCGCCCGGGCAATTAATTGTCGCAACATGATTAAATGTCCTTTAATATACATCTAACTGTCCGAGTCTAATAAATGTTAAATTTCATGAGGAACTTTCAATTAAATCCAATAGCAATTTATTGATAGCAATTCTGTTTATGCGATATAAAAAATTAAACGAATCCACCCCAACACTTACAAACATAATTCAAAAACATAAAAGAGCAAACAGGAACTAAGGTGATGAGATGACTTGACACATTATTTAAATTTAAAACAGGTTGGCGCGTCCTTTTTTCCTGCGCGTTATTCGATTGTTTCGCCGGCTCGATGTTTTGGAACTGTTTTTGCACGATACAAAATTATTTCACCATATGGGGTCATATATTAAACAGAGTTAATGACAATGCAAAGAAAACATATGGCCAATTAATATCTGCTAACTCCTCTAAATGAGTACGCCGCTATTAATATAAAAAGGTGTTATAAAAATGGGTATCAAAAGCGATAGAAAAACAAAGTAATGTTTATTGTAGGGTGTAGTAGATGACCTATTTTTTAATGAGAAACTTTTTAAATGTTAGCACTAAATATTTTACCGCATATTTGCTTCGGGAGTTATTGCCTTAGATATTAAAGGATCAGTTAACAAAAAAGAGTTGGTTCTAGTAATTAATTATTATAAACATAAATTATTATTAAAAGATTATACAAATTTATAATATGCCTATGTAATAATTACTCAATTTTCAGTCTTGTACAAAATATATTGACACGTAAGACAATTGTGTGAGTCATAGATGTACATTAATTAGTGTTCTATTAAATCAGATTTCTTTTTTAATTAGGAACACAATCACGAGTGCAAATGACTATGCGTGGTAAGTCACAACCTGCTCGGAGCGAGTTTCTCGAGGCGACCATCTGGTGGGCGAGGGTTTTTTTTTTATTTTCCAAACGTGTCGTCTTGGATTCTTGTTTTTTGCATTGGCTGGCGCTCGCTTTTGGTTTTTTTTATACGGCCAAGTTGCAGTTAACAGGTGGCAGGTTGCAGGTGAGACCTGAGATTTTAACTCAAATCGAGTTAACCTTAGTGTGAAATGTCTCGCGTGCTACCATCTGATAAACTTTTTGATAATTTATTTAATATAATAAATTTTGACGCTTTTAATTATGTATCTAGTTAATAATTCAGTTGGAGTGATATAAGGTATATTTTCTGTTACTAAAAATCATTGCCTATTTGAGTGTTAAATGTGTATTGTCTGCAACCTTTTCAGGATTGGCAGTGATGTTAAATCGAACTTAATAAAATCTATAGAAATTGATAATTTTATAGTTCCAAAATAAAAGTCCGAATTATTTAGGTAGTATAAATTTTAAGATTTACTGATTTTTTATTTTATCAAAAATATTATTTAAAATTTATATACAGAATGATAATTATTTTTTGCTATATTAAAAATAGTAATTATATAATAAAAAATTAATTGCTACGAGCAGAATTCAAACATGCAACCTCCGGAATATCTCCACTCGAACGCTATATTTGTGAAATTTAAGTATTACCTCCACGTTACCTTCATATGAAAACCATAAACGTGATAATTTATTAATACTACTATTGCTACTAAAAGTGGCCTTAATGATTAAGAATGATAATTCTAAGTAATAAAAAATAACAAAAAAGACACGCATATATCTTTCGGTTTTAATTGTTTTCATCAAACAGGTTAAATATGTATTTAAAAACATATAATTTATTCGTAACTATTGTGACATATTCATTATAATAGGTTTAAGACATAAATCTTTGTAAATGACGTAAGAGACTCTTCAATACTTATATTGCGTTCATGTTACAATATAACGCTTCGAGTCAAGTTGAAAAATTTAGTTCACAGACGATTTATCACTATTTGGATTTTTGCCTTAACAAGTATCAATGATGTTATGAGA